TGCTGTATGTCGTATGTTTTATTCCTATTTATTTCAAGGAGTTCTTTTTGTGCTCTGGATTCTAATGCTTTGTTAAGTTTATGTACTGAAGTTATACTCTTCCTGTAATATTTTCTTCCATTTTCTTTAGTATGTCTTTTGTTGAATAGAAGTTTTTGTCAATTTACAGTAGGTAAATGTATCGATCTTTCCTCCTTATGAGCTGAGCTTCTCATGTACGAAAGAAATATTTTCCTACACTGAAGTCATAAATATATTCACTTGTATTTTCTTCTAAAAGATTTAGAATTTTGCTTTTTTAACACATTGACCATTAATTCACCTGGAATTTAATTTTCTGTACAGTGAAAGGTAAGAGTCCATTTTATTTTCTTATTTCAGATGAATTGATCATTTTTCCCAGAACCATTTATTGAATCATTGGGATTTTTCTAATACTTGTTAATAAAAACATCACACATGCAGAGACATAAATGCATGTGTCGATGGGCTTTATTCTGGTCCGTTGGGCTATTCAGCCAAGTGCCAATACCACCCTGTGTTCATTATACAAATTATCATAATTAAATAGTACAGTTGACAGACCAATCTAACAAAAAAGTCCTGCTTCCTTGGTTGTGTTTTTGAATCTACTCTTGGCCGGTTTGGACTGGTTGCTCTTCCACACAAACTGTAGGATCAGCTAGTCAAAATTTGTTTTCCTCATTCACTAAAATTGTTTTTATTATAAACCAATGGAGAGAGAATAAGGACTTTTATCATTTAAGTCTTCTCAAACATGAACATGGTATATATTTCCATTTATGTTGGTCTTCCATTATATCTTTAAATAATATTTTTCTTGAAGTTTTTTAACATTTCAAAATTTATTGTTTTACAACTTTTCATTTTTGTTAACATAAATAGCATTCTTCCATATTTTCTAATCTGTTATTACTTGGTGTACAGATGGTAACTATCATATTCATACTAATAGTTTATCTCTAAATTCTCTTGAATTTTCCATGAAAGCAATAACATAATATAAGGTACAAATAAGGACTTTTTTTCCTCTTTCATTTCAATTCTTTTTTCCCCTTGTTTTCTTGGGCAATTGTATTATTTAAAACCATCAATACAATAGTAAATATTAAATAATAAAGGTAACAAGAAGAATATTTTATCATTTCTAACTATCATAAAAATGGCTTCTAAAATTTTACCATTAAGAATATAGTGTTTGCTCTAGGCTTTTGATAGATCAATTTTATCAGGGTAAGGAATTCTCTTCTATTCCTAAATTACTAAAACTTCTTACCATTAATGAGGATTATTTTATGGAATTCTTTTCTGCATCTATTGAGATATTACCATCACTTAATGTGGCAAATTATATTAGTAAATTTCCTAATATTGAAACATCCTTGAATTCTGGGATGACATAGATGATTTAATAATGATTTATATTCATGCTTTAAAACTTATAGTAAAACTTTGCTCAACGTAACAAAATTTTTATTGGAGTTTTATTTATTTCAGTTACATATTGTAACAATGATAACAAGTGGAAGTACACAGTTGTTTTAACCACCAAGCTAACTGACCTGTAATTATCAGCATATATTATTTCTCCTGAAATAAACTGGTCTCTAAAACTGGTTGCTTTTTGAAGTAGATTTAATGTGCTGCTGTGAATTTGCTTAGCAACCTTCAATTGTGTCAAATTTCAGCCCAACTCTGATTTGAGTAAAATATTCCGTATTCCAAGTTGTCAGAGTTTGAAATAATGCACGATTTTACTGTACACTTGCTGCTTTGAGGAGGGCTCAGGAAGAAACCCCTAATTCTGACCTAAATTGCTGGCAGCATTTATTTGTCTGGTGGGAGATTTGCATTTCTGGATATTCATTATTGACAATGTTCTCTTTCTAGGGTTGTCTTGCCATGGGTGTCGCCATTGGAGCACTGTGAAAGAATTAGATACAAGAATCCTTTGCTTCCTGAGCTAGCCAATCACAGACAAGTTTTTATTATTGCCTCACCTGCCACTGAGATTTCTTTGAGCTTCCGTACTGAATATGCTCGCAAATCTATGCAAAAGACTCTGTCTCTAGGGAATGAGTAACAAAAGGCCCTAAAAGCTCTGGTTCAGTTCTTCATTAATGTAGTGGACATGTGTGATTGTTCCCTGTCTATGTACATGTCCCCTTTCTTTAGATCCAGCTTTGGTTCCCAGTTTAAATGTTTTGCTTAACCTCCCTTTGAGGATCCGTTGTCATTCTGCACCGGAAAATCAATATCTACAAATATTTATTCTGAGACCAAATGGTGCAACATATCATCATTTGGATAAGAACATTTTTCTCCCCTCTCCAAACATTTCTTTCTCTCTTGCTTTCTGTTCTCATGCCCACTTTTACTGCTCCCCCTTTCCCTCTAAACGGTGCCTTGAAGCCCTGGCTGGTGTGGCTCAGTGAATTGAGTGCTGGCCTAGGAAACAAAGGGTCACCAGTTCAATTCCCAGTCAGGGCATATGCCTGGGTTGTGAGCCAGGTCCCTAGTAGTGGTGTTTGAGAGGCAACCACAAATAGCTGTTTCCCTCTCTTTGTCCCTCCCTTCCCCTCTCTAAAAAATAAATAAAATCTTTAAACCGTGCCTTGAGTTTGTTAAAGGAATGAAAGATTGTTTTATCCCAATGGAGGTATTAAGGGGCATGTTACTAATGAACTTTTCATGTATGAAGAAAAAATTTAAAGCTATGTTTTATAATAAGTGACATACCCTCTTTCTGGTGCCAGCCCTAATTTTAGATTTACTAAGTAAAACATATGTACAGAGTAAAGATTGGAATGGGGTCAACTAGTGCATACAAAAATAGCAGGACCAAGAAAAGTATCTTCACATATACTGACTGTATAGAAGAAAAACTATTTGATAGCTTAACCCATACAGAACATGTTAATACACAGGCAACAGGTATTAATACATACTGCATCAAATGCAGTATCCTTCTTCCTTCTATCCCAATCTAAATTGCATCCAAAGCAATTCTTACCTATTTTATTTATTGATTAAAAGGTAAACATAAAAAGTATATGGAAAATTTAATTACAATTGACAAATTCTTTAGCACTAACTACCATAACATATACAATAATACATTTAAAATATATCAAGTTAGCCCTGGCTGGTGGGGCTCAGCTAATTGAATGCCAGCCTGAAAACTGAAAGGCCACAGGTTCGATCTCCAGTCAAGGCACATAGCTAGGTTTCGGGCCAGGTCCCCAGTTGGGGTGTGTGTGACAGGCAACTGATCAATGTTTCCCTCTCACATCAATGTTTCTGTCCCTCTCTTTCTCATTCCCTTTCCCTCTCTCTAAAATATAAAACAAAATCTTTAAAATATACCAAATTGATCACATTGGCTCTACTCTGTCCAGATCTGTAGGATGACCCTCAGGCTATTTGTAAAATATCTGCTGCTTACCTAAAAGAAGTTGGGCAATTTGTGTTAATATAAAGTCAACAAATACTTCAATCCCAATATGGCTGCATTGGCTGTGTTTTCTTATCTTAAGGAGAAAGTAAGAGATGGACTGTGTGTTGTGATGAGCGCAACCACGATGTGACTGACTTAATGGGGCTGAGTTAGGCTTGTTGTTGCTGTCAGTGGAAGGGTGAAGAAATGTCACTAGAATAGCTCCTGTTTATTGGAGCTTCCTGCCTACTAGGCTCTGAATTCTTTCTAAAATGGAATGGTATAGCTACTGCTATTAACCTCCCTCACCCAGGTGTGGAAACCAAGCTTTGGAGAGGTTAACTGCCTTACCCGAGACCATGTGCTGGGAAGACCAGGATTCACCGCTAGCCAGCTGACCCCCAAAACTTCACCACTGATTTATCATTGCTGAAAACTTGGAGAAGAGCTTTTAAGATGTCCAACATGTTATTTTAGAAAAGATACACATATGATTTGAGAAAAAGGATTGTTCCTCATAAGTGAAACAGCTAGAGCAAAGCCTGATATTAAATAAGAACCTGGATTACTTTCCTTTTAATCGATTGAATGGATGTTCGCCACCCAGAACAGTGCCTGATATGTGTGTAGTAGCACTCTGTACATGTGAGCTCTCCTATCAGGAGTGAAGGTAACAACATCTGGAGATGATGGCTTAAATATGTGAAGGTCTTTAAAAATAAAAGTCTGGAGATAGGCAGAACTGGCCGGCTGGAAGGGCTCAAGGAAATCCTTCAAGTAGAGGCTCCTCTAACTCCCTGGGCCATCGTTTTTAGACCTTGGAATTAAATTTTGAGAGAGGTAAAAAGCCTGAGTGTCAAATTCATAGAAACCCCTGATTCAACCCCAACAAAAAGATACTAAGGCTCCGAGGACCTAATCAAAACCAGCCACTGAACAATCGGAATCCCCGCAAAAGGAATGCCTTTCTTCCAACTAATACCGGAAAGGTTTATCACGGCCATGGAGGACCGATGTGGTGGGTTTACAGGTGTTAGGGTTCGAGAATTCCACCACCAACTAGGTAAGACGCCACCCTCCGGCTGGTGCAGCTCGGGCTGGTGGTGCTCAGTGGGTTGAGCAACAACCCAAATGTCGCCGGTTCAATTCCGGATCAGAGCGTGAGAGGCAAGCTCTCCCACATCTGTGTTTCTCTGCCCTTCTTTCTCCCTCCCTTACCCTCTCCTAAAAAATAAATTTATAAAAAAAGCAAGAAAAGGATTCTTGTAGGTAGGCATTGGGTGGCCTCCTGCAACACTCCGATGTATTGTGGAAAGTGCAGGACAGAACCTTTCCAGACCCGAGATTGGACAGGAGGAAGAGGGCCCGCACAGTGCTCCAGACCCCGCCCTCTTCTGCTTGGCCACGCCCACATATGCTCCAGTCCCGTAGCCGCCCAGTTTGTGGAGGCAGGGGGCGGGGCTCAACCTTGCCCTCAGGGTACCTCTGACTCCGCCAATCAGTGAACGCCCTGTTGGCCGTCGGCAGCTCCCTCGCCCCTCCCCCTCCCGCCGGCCTCCGCTTTCCAAAATCCAATATGGCGGGATCCAGGCATAGGGGTCTTCAGACCAGAGCTTGGCTGCTTTTCTGCGCCCTACTGCTGTCGCTTAGTCGGTTCGTCGGGGGCGACGGCATGGGAGGAGACCCTGCGCCCGCCGGTGCCGCGGGCACCCCAGTCACGCTGCCACATCGCCGTTTTGAATACAAATACAGCTTCAAGGGGCCGCACCTGGTGCAGAGCGACGGGACCGTGCCTTTCTGGGCCCACGCGGGGAGTAAGCCAGGGCAGATGGCGGGAGGGCCCGGGTCCCATTCTCGCCTGACGCCTCTTCCTTTCATTATCTCCCTGCTGCACATCCTACGCGCAGTGGAGGGGACCCTTCTAGACAGCCCCTCTTGCAGGTCGGCTGTGGTCCGCAAGGTCCCCTCCACATGCTTCCCAGTCTTTTCCCCATTCTCTCCACCCTCCTTTGACCTGTCTCCTCCTCCTCCTTGATCTCGTCGCTTCTTTCCATTTGTCCTAAGGGTGTTCTGTTACTTCTTACACTTGCAAGCACTCAAACTCGTTTCTAGGCATCACGTTTCACCCTAATGCCACGTCTCTAGGGGAAACGTCCAGCACACCACACCCCAGCCTATCCTACCCGGAGACCTGTTCAAGCAGCCCACCTACCTGCTTTCCCGCTTCCCCTTGGCCGCCCTCCCTTGCTTTTTTTTTTTTTTTTTTTTTTTTTAATTCTTTAAAACCCTGTGTTAGCAATGGTTAATGCTCCATTTTGTACCGGATGCCTCCTGATGGCTCCAGAGATGACATACGTTGATTTTGTAGTAACTCTTAAGTTTTTATGTCAGGATACTTCGCACCCCGTTGGAACGATACCTTAAATTTGCCACTCTTAGTGACTTGGTGTGGTCTTTGATCTTTCCTCTTGTATTAACATGTTATGTACCTTAATAGTCACACATGTCCCTTTATTTACTAAACCAAGGAATATATTTTTTATATTGTTTCAGAACTTTAGACTAGCATCATATCTACAGCTCTTTTTAAAGTTTTTTGTAATCAAAATAACCTAAGCTCCATGATTTTTACTTACTGTGTCTGGCACTATGAGTAGATAGCAGCTTGCCTTGCTAGACATTTACATATGTGAAAGAAATACATCTGTGCTTCAGTGCTGATGTGTCATTGCTGGCTAAGGAATCAGCCATAGCACTTGACAGCTGGAAACTCTGCTCAGTGACCACCAGGTGTGAAGTTCTGGCAACTTGAATTCCATCTTGATGTGTAATTAGGAATTATTTCTATGAGCTTTGTGTACATCATTTTAGACAGTCTGTACTGGACAATCTAGAAGTGTTCCATTTCTAGAAAGTAGTTCCTGAATAGGAAGCACACTCACAGGAAGGGCCATTTCACTGAAATTAATGTATAATTAAAAGGTATAAATTTCAGTCTGACATAATGACCAAGCCATTAAGTATTTGAAGTAGAATGCAGTTAATTTGTTACTCATCAGGCATAATTATGTGCCCACTCATCAAAGGTATATTCCTGGGCTTTTGTTATCAGAGTAACGTTCTTAGTATACAAAGAAGATGCCGAGGTACTAAACACAAGTTTTGGAGTTTTTTGTTTTTCTTTTTGGAATGACAATGAATTTGTTCACTGGTTTTCACTTCTGCATCTCTCCACTGCCTGCTTGCTCTTCTCTTTCTCATGCTTGTGCCCTGTAATCAGCCAATTAGCAGTGTTAATCAACTACTCACATTAGTTATCATGGCTTTCTTTACAAAGCTTGTAACCAACTAAGTTTGTCACAGAAATGTCAGCTAATGTGTCTGAGTTAATTAAAGTTGTACGGCTGGAGCGAATTGAAGTGATTAGTGTGTTAGCCCCAGCACTTCTGTATACTGACTCTGGAATCACTGCTGTGCGGATCCTTTGCTTTCACTGTGATTTCATTGCACTGTTTTCTTAACTCCATCGATTACTTTTTACCTTTTCATTTTGCTCTGAGATTTGTTTTTGAAAACAAGAGGAATTTAAAACTTAGTTTAAACATGGCCTTTTACATTCATCCCCACGTTAGGACCAAATCTATGGTGTTTCTTTTCCTGAACTTGAATGTCCTTTTGTACTCTCTGTACACGTCCTCGGTCCATAAGGGCAAAAAAATGATAGCAATTTATAACGTTTTACGGCTCTCAGAGCTTTCACCTCTGTTCTGACCTGATCCTTAGTAGGCAGGGCAGACGTGTTCTGTTTTACAGATAAAAGATCCATGTTCAGGAAGGTCACATAGCTAGTGGGCGTAGAACAGAACTCCACTTCAGGTCCTCTGGTTCTGTATCCACTTCTCTTTCCAGGATACTTGCCGCCTTCCTTAAGTGCTTGAAAGTGATGGTGACGAAAGGTGGCTGATCTGACTAAAGTACCTTAACTTTCTGTCTATTTTTCCTGCCCCTGAAGAGACAGTATAGTTATTCCCCAGCATGGAAGTCAAAACCGGTTAATACCTGAGAGGGTGTGCTGGAATTGTTCATATGTAGGCCTGATGGGTGCTTTAATAATTATTCTGTCTGGTAATAGGAATAGCTAACATTTATGGAGCTATTTATATGGATTTACATAGGAACTTACATGCCTCTGCAGTTGTTGGAGAAATGGAGTAACTTGCCTATGATAAACAGCTAGTAAGTAATGAAGCTGACTTGAACCCAAACCCCCATTTTGGGCATCTCCTCTCTCTGAGAATCTGCTAATGCTGATGTATTGACTTGAAATTCAGTTGATCCTCTCCCTAGAAGAATGTACATATGCACAGCATTTTGAATATAATTTTTGGCCTTTTTATGGAAATTATTGAGCCCAGCTCCTTCATTTTACAGCTAAGCATATGGTGAGCCCAAGAGAGTAAGAGAACTATTTATTCAAAGTCACACAGCTAAACTAAGACTGGGAATAAGTCTCTTGATTCCTAGTGGTATGTTCCTTTCACACTGTTTGAGCTTTTCTAACATTTGCAAACTAATTAAAAAAAAAAAAACATCGCACTTAAAAGTATTTGAAAAGTAATATGAGAATCAAATATTTGGTTTGGCTTTTAAGCCAAAATGTCCTCTCTCCTGCCCCTTGGATTTTTGGTGTATGGTTACAGCTTTATTTTTATTTTTTTAGTTTTTGCAGATATATTTCACTATTCAAATTTGAAACTGTCAACATGAAATATTTTCCTAACAACTACTGTGCAGGTTACTGATTTAAAATTAGATTTCTATATGTAACAGTTTGGTGATGATCCATTGAGTTTTACCTAATTATAACTTACAGCTTTTTTGTTCTAGATGCTATTCCAAGTTCAGACCAAATTCGAATAGCACCATCTTTAAAAAGCCAAAGAGGGTCAGTGTGGACAAAGACAAAAGCAGCCTTTGAGAACTGGGAAATTGAAGTGACATTTCGAGTGACTGGAAGAGGTCGAATTGGAGCTGATGGCCTGGTGTGGTAGTATTTTTAACTTAGAAAATGTATATAAATGCATACACCACCAGTCTCTGAATGTTCCTTATGTACATTTACACCACCAGTCTCTGATGTTCCTTATGTATGTTTACAGGCAATTTGGTATACAGAAAACCAAGGTTTGGATGGTCCCGTATTTGGATCAGCTGATATGTGGAATGGTGTTGGAATATTCTTTGATTCTTTTGACAACGATGGAAAGGTACATGACTGTTACCCACTTGAATACATTGAAGGCTGCTAACAAAGTTAAACTGTGAGAATACAACTTATTTTAACACTTTTGTCATTTTGATAGTAGAGAACTCCCCAAACTGAAAGTGATGGCTAGTCTTTATATAGCTGGGAATTTATACGTGTAAAGCTATGAGTTCCTGATTTGTCATACTCTAACTCTGAGTCATGATGGAGCCCTAACTCTGAGAAGTTTGCAAGGCCCCCTCCCTAGCAGCCTTTCTGTGCACAGTAATTTCTGTGGATATGCATGATCATGTAGATGTAGGCAGCGAAACCAGCAGTGTTTAGAGTCAACCATCATAGTTTGTTTTCATGAAAATACCTGTGTGCATTACTACTACTCACAGGTTACTGTCTTCATACATTAATTACTCTTTTTGATCAGCCAATTGCTCTGATCTCTCCTAAAACAGTTAAGAACAAAGTGTACTTATAAATTGGGAACATGAACTTGTTCTTGAGCAGCCTTAAGATTGATGACCTTGGTTCCAGCGGATTGTTTTTCTACTGGAGTCAGTATTAGGAATTTAAAGGAGAACTTTAATTCATCCTTGAATGCTGAGGCCTTGTTTTAGCTTCCACAAGTCCCACACTTGTCCCATGTTCACAGTGTGTCTGCAAATACATGTTGAGGTGATTATTCAAAGAGAACACATTACCAGTCTTCATTGAGGTGTTAAGTGACTGTTTTTGAATGATTGTAAGAGTTCACTAAATAAGTAGAAATATCTTCTATTAATTATTTTTAAATTTTCAGTTGTACAATATTAGAGATGAAAAAAACTTATAGCATATCCAGAGTGATCTAGAATTCTTTGGTCTAGGGACTTTAATACAAATATATTTTCTTTATTTTTAGAAAAATAATCCTGCTATAGTAATTATAGGCAACAATGGACAAATTAATTATGACCATCAAAAGTAAGTATGTGTTTACATTATTACTAATTTCAGCTTCTTTTTTGGAGACCTTATAAAATATATTGTTTCAAATATAAACATTTTCCAGATGAAATAAGATTATTCTTTTTCTTGAGATTTATTTGAGACCTTTCCTTGATGGAAAGGTCTTACTGTAATTTGGTTCTGTTTTAAAGTTCTTTTTGTGGACCATCTCAGATTTTAAGCCTAAAAATGTGCTATTATATTTAACCTAAAATTATATAATACTTTAAAAAGTTAATAAAATGTTCTGGCTTTCAGTGACGCCACTAGTCATGTTTTTGCATATCTCTTAAAGGGGGATCTTTAGAAAATAAAGTCAGAGCCTTGACTAAACTAATGACTAAGAAATTTATGCTACCTTGCCCTGGCTGGTGTGGCTCTGTAGGCTGACCACCAGCCTTCACACCTGAAGGTTGCTGGTTCCATTCCTGGTCAGACATGTGTCTGGGTTGCAGGCCAGGTCCCCCCAACAGTTGGGGGCATGCTAGAGGCAGCTGGCTGATGTTTCCCTTTCTCTTTCACTTCTTCCTCTCTAAAAAATAAATTAACTCTTTAAAAAAAAAAAAGATGTGTATGTCACCTATTCACGTTAGAATTGCTATATTTAAAGAGTCTTGGTGGGCTACAAAGCTTCTAAGTATTTAGTATACTTGTAACATGTAGTAATTGGGTATCTACATTCTTTTTTAATTTTTATGTTTGTTGTGGGAGCAGTTACCTTTCAGCCAGCTGATGAACTGTATGAAAAAATTATTTATCTGTATTCCTGTTTACCTAAGGAACTTTTTTACTCTGGTCGTTGCCCGTGCAGCTGTTTAAAGGTGCCAAGGCCCTCCTGTGATCGCGATCCCACACGAGGGTAGAGGACTTCTGCCCACGCCACAGCGCATGCTGACAGTGGCTCCTGTGTTTTCCAGAGTCCTGAGAAGCCACGGGAAACACTCGTGCATCAACTTTGTGCCTTCAGCTCCCCTAAGACTTCGTCTTCACTTGATACTATTTTAATCTTTCTAGACATAAGTCATTTTAAATAGTGAGTTTTAAATATTGAAAAGCTTACGTTTCTTGCTGTGTTCCTTCCCTCATCCTATAGTGATGGTGCTAACCAAGCTTTGGCGAGTTGCCAGAGGGACTTTCGTAATAAACCCTATCCTGTCCGGGCAAAGGTCACATATTACCAGAAAACACTGACGGTGAGTACCCCGAGTTTAGTGACAGCGATAATCAAATGAACAGTATCCTGGTGCGACTTTTCATTTTGAATCTTGGGTAGAAATTGAATGCATTTAAATTTGGGTGGTGATCATGTACTCATCAGGGCTACTGGGAGAGAACAGGAGGGTTTCAAAGCCTGGTATGAGTGGCTGTGTGTTCTGACACCTGGGTGCTGGGTTTCCATTTAGTCAGTAAGTGTTTAAGCATCATACTATGTGCTGCATATTATGCGCATGCAAGCCTTCAGGATACAAGTGAGTTTAAAGCAAAGGTCACTTTCCAAAGAGCTTGTATAGTCTAATGCAGGAGACACTTGCATGACATTACTAGACTGTCATAAATCTTACAACACAGATACTATTTAGGGACCCACGGGCTAGGACACTATAACTTCCAGGTGGGAGGAGGAGGGTCAGGAACAGTTTCTGAGTGTAGTTTGAAGGGGAGTAGGAATTTCCCAATTGGGGTGCATATTCCAGGCAGAGGAAACAGGCCTAGGCACTGCTGAAGAGTTGGGAGAGGCAGTGGTTTGGTGTGGCTGGAGGATAGAGGAGACGGTAAGAAGCGAGGTCTCATGTAGTTTATCTTGCGAGGAACGGTTTGAAGAGTTTTAAGGAGGACAGTGAAATGATCGGGTTTGCAATGTAGGAAGACTTGGGCAGCAGTTTTCTTATAATGGCCTCTGTGGAAGGAGAAAAAGATACGATCATTTAGACTTCTTGACTTTTAATGGGCCATGCCCTGTGCTGGATACATTACACGCAGTTTTTTGTGTATTCCAGCAGCTCTGGGGGTGGGCATCCCCACATTGCATGGGAAATTGAATGTGGGAGGTTATAAGTGACTTAACAGTGTCATAGCAGTCAAACAATGGAACTGATTTGAACCAGCAGCATCTTCACTGTAGACTACAAGTGCTGCTTCAGATTAAGTCATACAGAGAAAATGCTCGGTCCAAACTTTTGGCAGGGTGCCTGTCAGTGTGAGGGGTGGATCTCAACCTGATACTCCCACCCTCCATGCCAGGGACTCCTCCTGGAGTGGGGCTGGTGGCCGGGTGGCCGAACTGACTGGGAGGAGGAGGCCAGGCTGCTGCTGGGCTGGGGTGTGAGAGCGTGCTCCTGTGCCGCACGCTCGGGGCCTCCTGTGCATTGAGCGCCGAGACCCCATTAGGACATTTAGGGTCATTGCTTCAGAAGTGCGTTCTGCAGAGCAGAAACCTGTGTCTCTGTAGTGTCTTCATTTTCTGCCTTTTTTGTCAATGTGACTTCTGGCACTTTTGCTGTCTCTTTGCTAAATTAATGACAGTTCGTGTGCCTGCCTAATCTAATAAGGAGGAGCTCACTGTTGAGTAAGGTAATCTATGTAATTTGCGACTAGCTACCAAAAAAATTGGAACTTCAGCCTGTTCAGCCCTGCCAGTGGGGCTACAGAACGAGTTTGAAGAAATCATGGTTCCCTGAGAATTCTTGAGAAAAGGTGAACCGTATTCTGTTCAGAAAGATTTTCATGGACAGTTAACAAATTTCTTTGTTTCAGCTTTTAGCACCTAAAAAGCAAAAACTGTTTACTTAAGTGAAATATCTTGTATAATGTTCCAACAGTAAGTGAGGTTATTTAGCGGACAAGAGATTAATTACCCTTTATAATAATGAGAGAAAGCTGATAGCTTTTTGACCGTTGGTTATTAGATCAAATATAAAGATCAAATAGGACCAGTCATAAACTGACCACTCGAAGTCCCTTCCCAGCGTCAGCTGCGAAAGCTCCTGTCTGTCTCTCTAGGTGATGATCAATAACGGCTTCACACCGGATAGAAACGACTACGAATTTTGTGCCAAAGTGGAAAACATGATTGTCCCTGCACAAGGGCACTTCGGAGTATCTGCTGCAACCGGAGGCCTCGCAGGTAACTCGCTGTCTCCGCACACAGAGCGTGTGTGACTAGGGGTTCGATGGGGGTAGTGTATTTGGGGGACGGGTGCACTGGGTTACTTTGAACTTCTTATGACTAGTGTAAGCCTCCCGTAGCTCACAGGGCCAGTCTTTTTCTCCCTCGGGACTGCTCGCTCTCCCCCACCCTTCTGCAGGGATGCGGTGTGTGGGGACACGTGCAGCTGTGGACGTCAGAGCGGCGTCCGGGTGCCGTTTTGTAGTGCAGGAGGCGTGTGAAGTCCAGGCTGTAGAAGGTTCACTGCCGAACTTTTAGGGTCCTGAGAGGTGTCACAACACATGTAGGTGAATTTGGTGGCTTGAGGAAATGTTATTGAGAACTAAACTTTAAACAAGATATGTGTACCATTTTTTTTCTATTTGTGGGTAAATGAGCTTATCATTTCACATTAATACAATCTTGAGTTTACATGGCATATTATATAGTTTTGTTTTCAAATATATGACTTGTTCTTACAAAAACAGAGGGAGGAGGGGAGAGGAGAGATTTTCACCCTAATGTTAGATGAGTTTGCCAATCTTGGATTAAAGGACTTGGATCTAAAGATCACCCAGTGGGTGATGGTCAGACCCAGGCAGACCTTGGTCTGGATCTCTGACTCCGGGGGCCAGTGCTCTGTTATATTGCTGACTGTCCCTGAAGTGACCTGACCCACACTGAACTGTTGCCATTTTCTCTTTAATTGCTACATATCTGGATCTCCATGCCAGTGGCGGACAGTTGGAGATTGTCACACAGTTGAAATTAATTGCTCTTGCTTTTGGATGTGACTAGCCAGGATTTAGTTTGATGTTGTGAGGTTTGATCTGCTAGGTCCCTGTTTTCAGCTTAAACAGGTTGAAATTAGTTTTTATATGACTTTAGATAAAATTGTTAGTGTCTGCTGTATGAGGGAAACAAATGTGAATGCTGTCTGGATAATCACATTATGTAAGTCTGGGCGCTTTGAGAGTGGAAGGCCAGGGTAACACCTGTGAATCCAGACACCCCCGTAGGCCAGGGCAGAGCAGGGCCGTGTTTGTAATGAGTGAGGCAAGAAGTGTAAGGGCTGCACGGCGGCCAGGTGGGGACAGAGGTATGGGCACCGTGTGAAGAAGGACAGCATGTTCTTTTGTTTGGCCGAGACGTACTCCATGAAGATTTGTGGGGAAGTGTGGAGGGACCTGGGTGCCAGGCTTAGGAGTTTGGACTTCATATGGCCCTCCCTTTGTTCGTCCCCTTCTCAGAGACTCACCGAATAGCTCCCTTGAGTTAAACACCAAGTGGTCTGGGCTGGGGTTGAGGAAGTGAATTTCGCATATCTCTGATGTAAATCTTTCTCATGAATCTTTGTCTAAGCTCACAGCACCATTGCGTTTACCAAATTAGAGCTAATTTTCATTTCCCTTATTGATGTTTTTTTAAAGCAATAGCTATGTGTAGACTCACAATCACAAAAATAACCTATTATGGAACTTTTTCTGATGTTTTTTTAATTTGTAGATGACCATGATGTCCTTTCTTTTCTGACTTTCCAGCTGACTGAGCCTGGGAAAGAGCCAGTAAGTACACTTTTCCAGAAAGTGTGTTTCCAGTCTAGTGGTGAGAACTTGGGGAGAGTGACTTAGGCTTGGCGCTTGCTTCTGCCAGTCACTGCCTGTGGCCTCGTGGCCTTGTGCCGAGTCACTTAGCGCCTCCTCACCAGTGGACGGAGATGCGCACCAGCCGTCTCCGGGTGTTTGCAAATGGTAAACGAGACGGCGCCTCTAGCGAGCACTCAGTGAGTGGATGTGGCTGTCAGTGTTTTCTGTTGGAATTATTCATAACGAGTCAATTGGTTATGATTTAAGTAAGAAATAGCATTTTCATGTTAACCTTTCAACTAGTGGTGGAGTGGTTAAGATGAGAAAAAGGACATATACTGAGGTTTATTATTTTCTTTTTTTTTAAATTCTTTTTAATGACCTGTTCTTACACTCCAAAAAAGCCTACACCAGACAAAGAAATTTCAGAAAAAGAAAAAGAAAAATATCAGGAGGAATTTGAGCACTTTCAACAAGAATTGGATAAAAAAAAAGAGGAATTTCAGAAGGGCCACCCTGACCTTCAAGGGCAACCCGGTGAGTTGCATCGCAGCTGTCCTCGGGGTGACAGCGTTCACGTAGCCCTTGGGTGTCCCCTCATCCTTCCAGTCTGTGTCTTCTCTCTTGTCTGGGATGTTGCGAGTGTTTTCTGGACACAGCTTGTGAGCAAGTCTTCAGTCTTGAGGGGGCGTGGAGAGCGATGTTCATACCAGGAAGAGGGCTGCAGCGGAGGGTGTGGCCGGGATGCCCTGGTGCCCGGATGGGCAGTGACCCTGCAGTGGGAGCCCTGTGAGAGCGGGGCTCGTTGTGTGTACTGCTCTGTCCCTAAACGGAAAAAAACGTGCCAGCCTGGGGTACAAACTCGGTGATGTGAATGAAGTCTTCTGAGGTCGATCTTCCTTCTAGTAGCACACAAATTGCTTTATTTATATGGAGATAATATTTCAAAACTATCAGTTACTGGGAGAGTGATGTGAGATGATTATCGGGCTCTCCTTCCCTACTAGTCAACAGAATTCTGGACTTTAAAAAGTCGAAAGTTTTGAAATACTTGTCTAAGCTACTTATTAAGAATTTAAGTGTGCTACATGTAAAAAATAAAATATGTTAAGGCCAGCCTCAGCCAAGTGGCTCAAGTGGTAAGAGCATCGTCCCATGTACCAATGGGTTTCGGGTTCAGCCCCCCATTGGGGCACATACCTAGGTTGCAGGTTCGATCCCCAGTCAGGTGGCATATAAGAGGTAACCAGTCAATGTTGCTTTCTCACACTGATGTTTCTCTCTCTCCCTCTTCCCTCCCCCACCCCTTCTCACTCGCTCTCTCCCTTCCTCTCTAAAGAATCAATTATTTAAAAAAAACCCAATAACATATTCTTGGTTGAGGATTAAAAAAAAAAAACAACCACGACCTGGTAAGGCCAAATAGAGTAACTTTATCCTGTTTGCTAGCTTTTGTTGGCTGGGTGCTTCCGCATCAGCACAATTGAACTCTTTGTAGTACATGATTCCTAGTTGATCACCAGTATGATGCAGACTTAAGCTAAACATGAAAAATAAACTATACTGTTTTACTGGATTTGTTTTTAATATCACATGATCCGTGAGTATGTGGAAACTTATGTAGTGTTTGAATGTAATGATCACTTTTCAGCCTGATCAGGTATTAAGGAAAATTGGCCCTTCCCTCCATTTCTTAACCTTTTACACAAGTAAAATACACAGATTTATTTAAGAGTATAGTTTGATGATATACTTATTTCCCCGTAACCCAGATCAGCACCCAGAGTATTTTTGTCACCCCAGAAAGTTCCCTCGTGCCTCTGCCCAGCCAGCCCCCCTCCAGAGAGGCAACCACTGTGCTGACTTCTGTTACGGAGACCAGTTCTCCCATTCATACAAGTAAAATCCCAGTGTATCTGAAAGGGGAGATGAGTTACGTGACAAAATTCAGGCCAAATTTATAGTAAATGTTGAACTGCCGAGCATAGCAAAGGCAGAGTCAGTTGGTCATGGTTGGGTTAGTTATCTGCGTGTTCATGTTCGGGAACGTACACCACTGCGTTGACGATGTTCTGGCTTTAATATGTATTGGCTCCTTGGTCACTGTATTTTAAATATTTGTTTATTTTTAGAGAGAAGGGATGGGAAGGAGAAAGAGTGGGAGAGAAATATCAATGTGTGGTTGCCTCTCATGTGTCCCCTACTGGGGACCTGGCCCGCAGCCCAATCGTGTCCTGACTGGGAATTGAACCGGCAACCCTTTGCTTCACAAGCCCGTGCTCAATCCACTGAGCTACACCAGCCAGGGCTTCACTTACTGTATTTTAAAAAGTACATGTGCATAGGTGAGTCTAATAGCTTTAATTTCTAATTTCCATTTCAGCGGAGGAAATATTTGAGAGTGTAGGAGATCGTGAACTAAGACAAATCTTTGAAGGGCAGAATCGTATTCATCTTGAAATCAAGCAGCTGAACCGCCAGTTAGACATGATTCTTGATGAACAGAGAAAATATGTGTCTTCCTTGACGGAGGAGATCTCCAAAAGAGGAGCCGGGATCCCAGGGCAGCACGGACAGGTGAGCTTTCCAAACGTGCGGGTCGGCCGCGCGAGTCGGCCTGGTGGAGGAGGAGAGGCGGGAAGGAAGGCCCCTGCGCCGCGCGACCCTGCGGACGTGGGTTCTTGAGCCGGCTGCACGTTTGTTTCCCTCCAGGTCTCCCAACAAGAGCTGGACACTGTTGTGAACACTCAGCATGAGATTCTGAGACAAGTAAACGAAATGAAGTAAGTATGCGGTGGTAACGTCTTGGTGTTGTGTGTTCCTTTATTTAAATGTGTGACTTCTCTGGTGCAAGCACATTATTGTTGTCAGATTCCTGTGTGAGAGTAAGAATTACGTTCTAGATTCATTTAAATAAGGGAATGTCAAGAACAGGAACTTGGGACACTTAGAAACTACAAACACATCTAAATTTTTTAATTGTTCTAAGCTAGAAAAGAAAAAATGCTGTAGCATCTTTAAAAGAATAGGTTTGTCACAATTACATGACAGCCAGGACTGTTCATACATTTCTAAAATATAAAAAGAATGTGGGTAATGTGTAACAATTCTTTGAAAAATGCTGGGGCAGTAATATGCACAGCATTGTAGGGCAGTAATACAAGCCTGCCGGGTGCAAGAATTAGGGTGGAATGAAAGCATCTTAAAGGAAATACACAGTGTATGACCGTCTCTTTTTCATTCCATCTTATAACCTAAGAGAGACTGGACACAGTTGGAGCAGAGCGGAGATACTGTGTCCTTGAAACGTTGAGTGATGAGTTTCTGAAAAGGATTTACTTGTGCATATCATTGATAGCTTTCAGTGCCTGGAGCAGAGAAGGAGCCAGAATGTCATGTTTCATAAGCTCGTTCTTCAGAGCACTGCCCCAGCCAGTCAGCCCTTGACAGAGGAGGATGTCAAGATGCATCATTTAGGACTGGAAAATTGAGCAGGATTAGGTCAAATAGAAGGTGAAATTAAGCTTCACCAGTTTTCCAATGTCTTTTTTCTGCTCCAAGATCCAGTCCAGGATTTCACATGGCACTTAGTTATTTCTGTTTAGACTTGTATGGCCTGAAATAATTCATCTTTCCTTGTCACTCGTGACCATCGCGAGTTCCAAGTGCGTGGACCAGTTATTTGGTCCCTGGCTCCTCAGTTTGGGTTTGTTGCCACTCGGTCGTGGTCGGAGGGAGGCTCATTGACCAGACCGCAGCGGTGCGTCTTGTTACCAGTGAGGTCGTCTGTGATGCGTTGCTTACGATGCTTTCCTCCCAGTCTCTCTACTTGAAAGTTGCTGTCTTTTTCTTGGTGGCCAATAAATAGTTTAGGAAAGATACTTTGAGACTGTACAGATCCTGTTTCACTTTAAACTTTAGCTCCCTGATTTAGCATCATTGATGGCTTGCCTGAAACAAGAGTATGGTATTTGCCAAATACCTGGTTTTCCATTTCTGTCATTTCCACATTTATTTGGACCAGCTGTTCCTTCTGCCCCACTTACTTAATCAGTTACTTATATCAGTGTTTATTCTGTGGGTTACAGTCCAGCACTGTCGTTATTTACTTATAATGTTGTTCAAATTGCCCCCGCTCTGGTCACTAGAGGCCTGTCCCGGTTGGCTTTCATGGTCTTTCAGCAGCCCCCCATCGTCTTTCATGCATTTGTTACTTTCTTTTGCTGCCACGCTGTGTTTCAGGCTCACCTTGTATTTTCTGTGCTTCAGCTCTAGAACCGGCCACTTCTCCGGTGAGCCCCGGTTCCTTGTGTTGGAGGAAGGTGCTGAGAAACCAGGAGCTGGGCACTGGGCGTGCTCGTCACTGCTGGGACATCATTACTTCCAGGCCCTCAGCGGGCAGAGCAAGGGGACACGGGAATGTGCACTAACACGCACAGGTGCACACGTCTCTCTTTTCGTGTCCATCAGTCGACACTTGTTTTAAAAAATCATGGGATTATGTGGATACTTAGGGTTCTGGTTGGACCGGCTGGACCGCATGGTACAGGATTGATTTTAGCCTTCCTCCTTTCCCTGTTTGAAAATTCCTTCTCCAACAGGCAGAAGCCTGGTTTGTAGTATCTGTAATGTGTTTAGTGTGCACATAAAGTGTTTGAAATTATTCACACGTAGGCCTGTGAGAAACACGTTTACTGACGGGTTTCAGTAACGTTCCTTTTGCCTCCAGTCTGACAGTGTCTAGTTCAGACACTGTTTCTCCAGATCGTTCAGTTCTTCCCCACTCTCTTCCGTATGTTTATGGTATTTATTATAATACAGTCCAGTTTTTTGTTAGTGGCTGCATTCCTTTGATATCTGGTTAATTTTTAACTCTATTTTGGTGTACGAAGGACAGGTGACTACTGTGGTTCGAAGAGCCTGTGTATGTTTGTGTGTGTATCTACCCACCCCTGTCGGTGACCCATCCCTTTAATTTCTGGTTGGTTCCTCCTATACTTCTTCTGCACATGCGTATTTCCTTAGATCTCCTTCCCTTTGTATGGATGGGAGCACACTCTAGATTCTCTTTTGTGATTTGCTTGTCTTACTTAACAGTAACACTAAGAACATCTGGAGGCTCAGTCAGTGGTTGGTACACCTTAGCCATCTATTCGAGTTCTCCAGGAAAGCTCTCACTCAGGGTGGTCGGCAGTCCTTGTGACCCCCACTTACTGGGACCAGGTGTCGTGTGTACAGGAAGTCAATGTGAAAACCAAACTCAGATGTCTGACTGTGTCCTCGAGAGCTTTTCTTCATGATTACGTTGCAGAGGGAAAATGTAACGAGATCAGAAAGGTATGCCTTTTGTGGTCAGGGTGGTTTGTGTCTTCACGGGTTTTCATATTCTCAGGGAATTGTAGAATTACTTGGTGGCAGACGTGTGGAGTTCAGTCCCCTTTTTACAAAAAGCTTTTTAAAGGGCCCTAAATGGCAAAAGACCACAATCTGAAAAACAGTCAGAAGTTGTTTTCATTATCTCTTCATGTTAAGTGCTATTTCTAGCATATCATAAAGCCATGCTAACTTTTGTTTCATTAATTTTCAAACCTACAAAAAAAACGTTGAGAATAAGAGCCCCCCATCATATCCCTGTACCTACTCTCAGCAGTTACTAGTAATAACTCCTGTTGGGGGCCTGAGCCATTCACTGTGAAGGGCCTCATCGGCCACTCCTCAGTTTTCGTAGCCAGGGAAGGCGACTCCTGCATCCACTGCCTCCTCAGAGGCTGAAGAGGGCGGACACTCCCCATCTACAACTGCTTTTCCATTCAAACAGACGACTTTTCCCGTCCCCTGTCATCCCGAGCTAGTTCAGGAAAGGCAGGATAAAGAAAGACCTGTTCTTTCTCCACGCTGCATAGATGAGTCAGCGCCCTGGCAGTCTCCAAGGTCACGGGATGAGGTAGTAAATGGTGATTTTTTTCTACAACTCGGATTTTAATGTATTTTGTTATCTTGAGCCACTAGTCTTTGTCATCAATGCTCAAACTGTCTCCTCTTTAGCTGACACCTAGAAAGAAACATTGATTAAAGATTAGATCCATTGTGTTAGTCAGTATCCATTGGAAACTGGCTTCACACAGATTACTTAGTAATGTTCTTGTGGTTAGATGACCTTTAGTAAAAGATGAAGGCATAGTATTAATTAATGGTTTTATAAATTACTTTCCTGTGTTGAAGACAATTCAGTTTTTAAAATATTGATATTTTTTGTCATTTTATGACCTGATATATTGAGCTTAGAAGTGTATCTAACCATTGGAAATCTGTGACGAAAAAAATCATTTTTCTAGTGGTTCCATTGTCTAAAGGGATTTTCTATTTCAGGAATTCCATGAGTGAAACTGTCAGGCTGGTGAGTGGCATCCAGCATCCTGGATCTGCGGGGGGCGTCTATGAGACCACCCAGCACTTCAACGACATCAAGGAGCACCTGCACCTGGTGAAGCGGGACGTGGAGAGCCTCGTACAGCGGAGCGCAGTGAGTGCCCTGCCTTCCCGCTCTGACAGCTGGGCTCCTCCAGAAAAGGTGGGGCTCCTCCAGAAAAGGCGGGGCTCCTCCAGAAAAGGCGGGGCTCCTCCAGAAAAGGCGGGCCGCGTGTTCTGCTTTGTCCTGCAGCGGCTGTTTCAGCTGTCTAGTCAGTGCCAGATGCTCTCATGCAAACCCACTTCTGCCTGCCCCTGTGCTCGGTGGAGTAGTTCAGGTGTGTCCGTGGTTCAGTGTCACGCTTCCACAGCTTACTGAGTAGAATTTTTTTAATTTAAATTATTTTATTGTTCAGTTACAGTTGTCTGTATTTTCTCACCACCCCCTCCATGAATAGAGTTTTTTTAATTGCACTTTCAGTTAGTGGAACCATCAGAATCCCAGGCTTTTTTTTTTTCCTAGATTTTTTTCCTGTAAGTTTTCTTTCAAAAAAAATTAAAAAACAACAATAATATCAGTAAAATCTTGGAACCGCTTTGCAAAGGTAAACGTCTGTCTTGACAGACTCTTACGTCAGACGGACAGATGGCGCGGGCAGCTCCTACCTGCCTCTCGGGCGCCAGGGAGGCCCAGAGCTGAGGCCAGCGGCAGTGTTCCCGCAGCAGGGCTCTGCCTCAGCGCCTTCCCTGTCTCGTTTCACTTTTAAAGCTTGTTCGTCTGTTTTTATTTTTGTTTTTGTTTGACTTTATTAGGTATTTTTAATAGCATAAGCCCTGTTTTGGAGAGACAGTAATACTAAAAATAGATAAGTTTTTTTTTTATTTAATATGCATAAAAAACAATATTAGAAGATAGGCCCCTGGTACTTGTAAGTTTTTTCTTAATTCTTGGCTTTAAAAATCCTAAAATTCACAACTGCTCGTGGTATTCGCCTCGTCCCCTTCCAGTCCTCCACGTGCAGCTCAGTTTCCTCCCGGCCGCCACGTCTCACCCTAAACGTTACGCCTGCTCCCGAACTCGGTGTGAGCTTATCCCCGCCCCACTCACCCACTGCAGCCTCCGCTGAAAGGGCCCCGCCCATGGTTTGGGTGCTGCGCGCAGGCGCCCCAGAACTCTGTCCCGCAGCCGTGAGCGTTTTTTTTATGTGAGCATATTGAGAACACATCACCTTAGCAGCCATTCCGTCTGCATACCTCGAGGGAATCTTTGTCCTTGGTACTTACCTCCTTAAAATAGGAGGAATGCTTGTAGAAATAGAGGAAAAACGTATTTCACACTACCAGTTAGTAACGCGGGGTGCTAGGAGCTGGGGGAGGATGAGAGCCGGGACGTCAGAGGGTCAGGGCGTGGCAACTGCAGGACCGTCTGACCCAGAGCACTCAGCAGAGTGGAGCGGAGCTGTCCGAGCTCTGGTTCAGACAGTGACATGCGACCCTTTCGAAGGTGACACTGTTAATAATTACTCTGGTACAGCAGGTGTCCACTGGGAGTGCCCAGGGATTCATGGTCTGTCACCTTCAGGGACACTGAAATTATTGTTGCTGTGATGAAGATAGGAGCCAGATGACAGGGAGGCAGTGACCGGACTGGGGGAAGGGGGCCGGCCAGGGTCAGCTACTCTTCCAGAAAGCGGTGGTACAAGCAAGGGGATGGAAGGTGCGGATGGAGAAGCGGAAATGCTGCAGTCCGCTCAGTAAACAAGTGTTTTATAGAGCTCTCCCATTTCTTTTTCTAAAATCTGATCTCGCTCATTGTAATGGAGAGTTCTTTATCTTACAGCCGGCAAATGAAAGACCAAGGTGCCCAGAACTGCCGCCATTTCCATCCTGCTTGTCCACGGTTCACTTCGTCATATTCGTGGTAGTGCAGACGGTGCTGTTCATCGGTTACATCATGTACAGGTGAGTCTCGGAGAGCCGGCCCCGTTCGCACGGGTGCGTGTGCAGAACGTGCGCTTATCTTAGTGTGCTTGGTTCTTCAGAAGACATTGTGTGTTTTCATTTTAAGCATTCCTATTTCTTTCTGAAGTAAAGTATATGGAAATCGTTTTTTTTTTTCCTTCTCTTTTTCCTCAGAACTCAGCAAGAAGCAGCTGCCAAAAAGTTCTTTTGACCACCGTTTTCATGTGTGCGTCATGTATGTATGTACAAAATGTTGTCTTTTTGAGGGACTGTAAGTATTTAAATTGATTCATAGGCTAAATTATTCAGTTTTGTATAAAATAACTTTGAACATTGATTTGCAGTAAGAAGAGACCTTAAAGACAACTACATGTAAATTTGTGCATAGTACTACCTAAACTCTATTTAAATTTCAGTGGATTTCTGGCCAGTAGAATACAGCCACTGATCTTCAATATTCTTACTGCTAAATAATAGGGTAAATAATAGAAAATGGGGAAAACCCCAAATATGAAAGTTACCCCTAAGTTTTGGATGTTGGAGGTTTCTTTATTTCATAAAACACACTGGCCCTCCTGCCCCCAAAATGGGAGGTCAGACTAAGAGCTCCTCATCGTGATTAGTTGGTAGCCCAGCCTTTTTTAAGAGGTCGGAATTTCACATTCAAAGACCCAGCCCCACAACCCCGCAGTCTAGTACTGTTCCCTTTGAAATCAAAGGCTGTGTTGTCTGAGAGCTTTAGGATCTGGATAATGGGCTTCAGAATGTTTATTGAAGTATTTTTCCCTCTGATTATCAATGAAGTTTTGGGAGAAAATTAAGAATTGTTCTTTGCCAAAAGAAAAAAAAAATTGTTGAACACCTTCCTCTGACAGTATTTGTGGGTATTTTGCCTGATAATGTGTCCATTTCATGATCGCTCAAGCTTGAATGTCTTATTCCAACATGTCGGTTCAACATTATGAAAGTCACGTTTGCATCTGTGTTTGTAATTGAAGGAACTCCTACCCTGTTGTGCCGCTTCTAAGGTCAGCTCAGATCGCGTGTTCAGAGGGTGTCGTGGTTCACAAAGCCGCCACTGCGTTCTGGTTTCCATGACTCGGTGTCCGCAACTCTGCAGGCTCCTGTACACCGAGGAGGCTGGCCTAGGAGCAGGGTTAAGATTTCTGAAGGCAAAATTTGGAAAATGGAGTTAATACTTCTGCTTTTTTTTTTTTTTTACTGCCAGAACTGAGGATACTGTACAAGACTTGTCAAAAAACTTAACCTGGAAATGTCAGACTGGAAGGGGTTGATAAAGTCTTTGTACAGAGTTCCAGGTACTATAGAAACAGCCTGTCGATGACATTTGCAAATGCACTTCATTTTGTTTTCACAGCTGATGGACTTACTTTCGCCGCCTCCAAACACTCATCTCTTTCAGCTAAAGTGGTTATCTTCCTTTGTCATAGAATCTAAAATAATACTGTTTTGTGAAATAGTCCTACTTAGTTCTTCCAAGTCATCATAAATCGATTCTAAGATGTCATGTACAGATTGGGCTCACTGCCCAGAGTCTGCCCAAAGACGCGGAAGAATGCTCCCGAACAGCAACACCCAACTTGGCCCATGTGTGCGAGCAGCCCTGACGTTGCTTCTTGTATGAGCACTTGTCGTGGGAGCTGAACAAGGGCCTCTGACCGTCACTGAGTCTCCTTCGGTCCCTTCAGCATTGTGCCTCGCCAGTGTTTTTCCTTGTAGCGTTACCATTTCCAAATCCATGTTTCGGAGACATCATCGTCACAGAACTTACTCCTCCTGAAAAAAAAATTAATGTCTTCAGAAGAGCGTTTCAGTTGCAGACTGCGAACGTGGGAAACCCTTGAGATGAAAGCCTTCAAAGCGTTCAGTGTGAAAAAGTCCGTGGCCACGTGAGCCCGACGTGTCGGAGGACCCGGGTCCACACAGTATGTTTCCCAGGCTGAGGCCGCAGAGGCGTGGATCTGACCACGCCCGCCGGGAGCGCAGCGGCTGCTGTGCAAGGCCGTGCGCGAGAGTGTGCCCTGCCTGCTCACTTCCTCTGCGAGAGGTCGCTCAGCAAAGTGGTTCACGCAGATGTTCACTGTGTTATTTGAAATTTGTTTTACTTTCCTCAAAACAGTCGACTTCCGTTCATTTCTGAAGAAAAATGTTTGCTCTCTGGAAAAATCAGTCACTGCCAGATTCTTTCATTTCTGTACTGTTTTGTAAAATTGAATTTGTTAACTTCTTCCACACCAGCAAGTATTTTACAGGTGCCTTAGATTAAAACAAAAATTATTTAAAATTTTAGTGTAAGTCATACTTACGATGCCACTTTTAAACAAATGCTATTACATAATGCCCAATACCCTTATTTAATGTACTTACTGTATTGTGTTCCAATTGTTTGGATGTTTTGCTCGGCTCGCAATTTTACTATGAAGCTGCAAACAAGAAATAGTCTTTTTTTCTGTATTAAAGGAATATCGGTGTTTCTCACAGTGTGGTCCGTCCGGGTCATGGAGTGCTGGTTAACAATAGATGCCAGGGTTCCATTCCTGACTGCCTGAACCAAAACTCAGGGGTCGGCTTCAGAATCGGGTCCAGCAGGCCCCTCGGGTGACCCTGAGCACACTGGTGTGTGAGGACCACCGAGAAGGGCCGTGGGCACAGGAAGCGCCCTCAGACTGGCTTGCAGCGGAGCTGAGAGCAGAACACTTTCACTGACCGCCCCGAAGGTAGCACCTGTGCACTGACTCTTTCGCGCTTGCAGTTTGCTCAGTGTTCTTTTTACTGGAACCGTTGGTTTCGCTGCGGCTGCAGACCAAACCCAGGTCGTCACCTGCAGCTCCTTGACTTTGGTTGATGGCTTTTAAACTGACAAAATTATTTTCAGATCACGTTCAAGCCGTGAGAAACTCCCATCTTCACGTCTGCCTGCTAAAGCTTCTCGCTCTCCTGATTGAATTTTTGTGACATCTTATCTCAGACAATTGTACATTTTGATAACTTGGGGAAAACAAAAATTACTTGAATAAGGGATTGCCAGATCTGCATTGCAGAGACTCGGGGTCTTTGTTGAGAACCTGATTAACGGTTGTGAACACTCAGATGTGATTATCTTTTCCTGCCCGTGTGCTCCTCGCGGGGAGGCGGTGAACAGATGATTATATTGGGATCTTTTTACACACATACACGATCTAATGTGAAATCGCCACTTGCAACTTTTTAGATCTGTGTGTTGCCTTTTTAATATATTTTAAAGTTTTAAAGAGTTTTCTATCCACCGTTAATTTCAGTTGGGCAACATTTTGTCAAGTGTTTTTTTCAGATTGTTTTTTGATGCTAGCTGGAATTCCAGAAATGACCTTGACCTTATTCAAATAAAGAAATATTTTAGTAAATTTACCTTTTTCTTCATTGGTCTCGACTAACAAGTAGCTATTTATTTTCCACGTAGGCCCTGATTTGTGATGGTGTTTCACTTAATGATCCTAGCGCTCTGCCCTGGGTGGCTTGTCACCTGCAGAACCCACACTTGGAAGCATAGAAAGAGAAGAAATAATGATGGATAAATGCTAACCTTTGCTGGTAATGAAAATACAGATTAACCAAAACAATGTGTTTGATGTTTTCATGTTTAATGACCAAATACGGTTAAAAGTAGTTAATTTGGAACTCTTAGCCCTAATGGCAGTTTAAAAATGTTGTAATCTTTGTAGTGAGCACCATTTGAACCAAGCAGTCCCAGTTCCCAGAGCGTATGCAATATGTGAAGGGAGGAGTGGAGCTTTGGGCTCAGACAGCCTGGGGCCTGAGTGCGGGGCCCTGCCGCTCCGCAGAGATGACCTGCGGTTTCCTCCTCGCACTCCGCACCCACGTCGGTAGCCTTGGAAAGTGGGCTCAGAAAAGGTCATGGACCCCTCTTCTGAGACATACTGGGTAAACTAGAAGATTTCAACACATCAGGTGGGTTTGAAACAAGTCAAAGGAAACAAAGCCTGGTGAGCCAGCCTGTGGGCAGCGTGGTGCAGACAAGGTGCCGCAAACACCTGGACACTGTCTGGAGCCCTGGGGACGCGGCCTCGCAGGCCACAGTCCGGATGCGGCCTCGATTCAAGCAGGCTGGGAAGCCTTTGAAGAGGTGACCCTTAGTGGTCCCATTTCGCAGACCCTGGGGTATTTATTTTCCCTTCCTGGAAGCTTGAGCGGTTCTACACACAGCCACGGATACAGTTACTGCATGTCAAGTAGGAAGGCCATTATAATAAGTTGAGGGATAAAAAGTTGTAGACATTCCATGTTCAATGGAATCATCTGCTGGGGAGACATTGAAAGATCTGATTTCATAAAAAAAATACCAGAGTATTCAGTTTCACCCTGGTGTAGCTACCACCTGAGGGTCTCCAGTCTTTGCCACCCTCCCCCACACCTCCCTCTCTCCCCACACCTCCTCCCTCCCACGTGTAAAAGGACCAGATGAGACCAGGAGTCTGCTTCACACACGGACACCACTACCATTGATGTTTCCCAATGCCTAGTAAAGTGGAATTTTAGTGGTAGATTTTATAATTTACAGTAAAATATAATGACATGGGTTTTTATTACTTTGGGCTTTTCTTTTGTTCTTTAAGAGATATTAACTGATTCAGACCTACCAAATTCAAGTTGGTTTGGGGGATTTTATTTCCTGACCAAAACTATTCTATAAGCCAGACCTTCAGCAAATCATCCTCATCTATGGGAAATAAAGGGTTTTTGTTTTCAGTGTCATGAGACAGCTGTGCAGTATTTTCTAAAAAGGCTGGTGCTGAACTGGGAAACAGAACAGACAGAAATACTGGCTCTCTGGCTTTTTATCGTCTGAAAAGTTTTGTAAGACCTGACTAATGAGTAGCACTCCTCAGTGGAGAGAAAATACGGTAACTCACACAGTGGTTTGAATGGAGTTCTGAGCAGTGCATCCAAGGTGGAAGAGGAGCTATTCGCGTGCATCCTCAATCAGCACTGATGAAGCACAGACAGAGTTTCTGTTTTATCCCACTCGTCTGTCAGACTTTCCAACTGAGACCGTTTTAGCAAGATGGCGGCATAGGTAAAGACGGCTCGCCTTCTCGCACAACCACATCAAAATTACAACTAAAATGTAGAGCAACCCTCACTCAGAGCCATCAGAAACCGAGTAGAATGGAAGTCTGACAACTATGAAATTAAAGAAACCACATCCATCCACACTGGTGGGAGGAGCAGAGATGCAGAAAGGGTTGGTCTCACATCCACATGCGGTGGATAAAAATTCAGGAAGGGTATCTTGAGAGCAAGGAGTCCTAACCCCACAAGGCACCCCCAACTGCCGGCCCAGGGTTCCAGCACTAAGATAAGTCTCCATAACTTGAGGCTGCAAAAACTAGCGGGGACTGAGTTGGTGGAAGAAACTTCTGGAGTCCCAAGCAGTTCCTCTTAAAGAACCCACACACGGACTTAATCAGACTCACTCCCTCTGGGCTCCAGCACCGGGGCAACAGCTTGAAAGACACCAGTGGCATATGGGGAGGGACTGAAGCATCTGGCATCAAGGCAAGAGCTGGGGAACAGCTCTTTCCCAGACAGAAAGGCAGGCAGAGGCTATTGTCCCTTTTCTGAACCCTCCCCCAACATTGCCACAGAGCCAGCAGGCTGGTGCTGTATCTGAGACTCCATGACTGTGTTTGCCCCACCCTGGAGATCCCCAGAGACCCTCTCCCATCCAACTGACATGCCCACCCAAGCTGCTTTTCCAGTGGTTGGTCCTGGCTCATGCTTCACAACTTCCTAAATTCTCTCAAACAAGCAGCATCTGTATTCAGTGAGCCCCAGACCCAGATTCACAGCTTGGCTTCACCTGGAAATCCCCAAGCCCAGCAGCAGCCCCAAGTAGCAGCCATCTCTTATTGCTTCATAGCTCAGGCAGAGTGGCCCTGGGCAAAGCACAGATGGGGGCTGACCATGGCCTGCACCTCCTGGGAAACCCCAGGGCCAGTGCACCCAGTGATAGCTACAGACCACGTTGGAGCACCACCGCCCTGCCCCCACACAGCTGATCCTCCACCAAGGGCCGAGGTTAGGGCCGAGGTTAGTGGTCAGTGGCCGCAGCCAGTCCTGGCGGCTGACTCACATCATTTGTACCACACAGGTGCCAGAAGGAAAAGAGAAAGAGCAAGAAATTAGAAATCTATTTGAAAAAAATAATAAAGGAAACTTTAATTTGGTGAAAGAAATGGACATGCAAGTCCAGGGAGCACAGCGAGTCCCAAACAAGATGGATACAAAGAGGCCCACTCCAAGATATATCATAATTAAAATGCTAAAGGTTAAAGAGAAAGAGAAAATCTTAAAAGCAGTGAGAGAAAAGCAGTTGCCTACAGGGTAATTCCCATAAGACTGTCTGCTCATTTCCCAAAAGAAACTTTGCAGGCCAGAAGGGACTGGCAAGAAATATTCAGTCATGAAAAACAAGGACCTACAGCCGCGACTGCTCTACTGAGCAAAGCTGTCATTTAGAATCGAAGGGCAGATAAAGAGCCTCCCAGACAAGAAAAAAACTAAACTAAAGGAGTTCATCGTCACCAAACCATTATGTGAAATGTTAAAGGAACTTATTTAAGAAAAAGAAGATCAAAACTATGAATGACAAAATGGCCATAAGTACATATCTGTTAATAATTCAACCTAGAAAGCAAACTAAGCAAACAAGAAAAGAGACAGAATCACGGATATGGAGAGAGTTTTGATGGTTGCAAGATGGGAGGGGATGTGGGAGAACAAGTGAAGAGATGAGGGGATTAAGTACAAATGGGTAGTTACAGAACAGCCGCGGGCATGTAAAGTACAGTATAGGAAACAGACCAGCCAAAGAACTTCTACAAAGGGCCCATGGGCGTGAACAGTGGTGTGGGGAACGCCCGAGAGGGTGGAGGGGGGCAAAGAGGAAAACTTGGGACAACTAATCACATACCATATTTTTCAGACTAAAAGACACACTCCCCCCACAAATTTGGGAGGAATAATGGTTGTTAATGGTGCTGTTGAGTTCTGTTTACATTTACATTGGTGAAATATTATGTTATTTGTTATTAAATATTTTACCACATTTTTTGCTTCAAAAACGTTTCCCCTATTTTCCTCCTCTAAAACCTAGGTGTATTGTATGGTCTGAAAATATGGTAATCAAAAAAATAAAATAAAAAATATTGATAATAAAGAGTATAACCTACAGGCAGACCTATAGGTTGAAATAAAATATTCTGAGTAAAAAGGCAACATTTTAAAGTAGGGTAGCAAATGGTAGCAAAAAAGCAGCTCTTTAAATATATAAACAAACATTTTAGGCAAAAATCCAGATTATGTAGTTCTGTGCAATCTGAAGGAGAGTCATCTATGTCCTGGGAGGGCTCGCTTCTATGGATAAAATAATAAGCAGTGACAAATAGCCCCCATCTGCCCCCATCCTCCCAGCCCGGGCCTGGAGAGCTTTAATTAGAAAGATACTATGTAGATTAAAGTCTTAGCCACACTCAACTCCTCCCTTGACCTGAGGAGCACCACGACCACTGAGAATCTGGTGAGTGACAGAATATTGCCAAAGGCCTTCTCCATATACACCATACACCACCGACCTTAGAGAGAGCACCCAGGAAGTGGGCTATCTGTAAGAAAAACAGGTGGCCTGTTAACACATCCATGATGTGACTCACATACGTCCTTGTCCTGTGCATCGAGCACTGAAAGTGTCCAGAGCATCGCTTCCACGGAGAAGCGTAACAGTTTTCAGTGCAGAAGGCTGACACCACCTCCCACATGGAAACTATGGACCCTCTGGCACTGCCTTTGGACTTGCCGCCCTTGGGCATTTATATAAAAGACACGGGAACTAACCACTGACGCGGGACGGAATCCAAGCGAGCCAACGGCAAAGCCTCGGACCGGACTTACAAGTCCAGTGAGAGAAAATGATGGATCAAAGGATTATTTTTGCTTAATGAAGCATTTTGGATTTTGAGCCTCAATGGACTCAGTTTTCAACGGGATATTATGCTCAAGGGCCGGAATTCAGAAATTCCGCTACAGCCGTATAATGTCAGCTGTGCTGAATTTAATTGAAGCAGAAGCCCTGCTGTGCTTGTAATTTAAATTTTAGAAATGGGTGGGGAGGGAGGGGTGGAGAATGGGAAGGATTTTTTTCCCCCTCTGAAATTAGCTCGCTGTATTAATCAGAAAGTGGTCGGTCCGTTCTGACTGTATGGCTCGGTAATCTGAACCATCTGCCTTGCCCACGAGGGAGCTCGCCTCTTTAATCCAGCTTACAGCCCGCACACGGCCCCCTCCATCGGCACGTCCTGGAAGGGATGAGGCCGGGCAACGTCCTTTGCTCCTAAATGTGTGGCTGCCATTGAGGATATTTGGAGGTTTCTGTCTTTTTTTTTTCTTCTTCTTTTTCTTCAGATTTTGTCTGAGTTTGGGTTTTCTTTTTTTCTGGGGCAGAAACAATGGCTTTCTTTATGAAAACTATGATAAGTAACCAGGTAAAGAATTTAGGATTTGGTGGTGGGTCCGAAGAGAAAAAAGAAGAAGGAGGGGCCTCGGATCCTGCCGCAGCCCAAGGCATGACCAGGGAGGAATACGAGGAATACCAGAAGCAAATGATCGAGGAGAAGTGAGTACACGCAGCTTCCCGGCCCTTGCAAAGCAAAGAGGTCTGCGCAGGCCTTACCTACCTCGGCTGCCCGGTTTCTTTCTCTTTGCTCTTCCCTGCCTTTCCTCGTGCTGTTTGCCTCTCACCCGAGCAGAGCGCTCTGCCAAAGTGGACGGTGCTGTAGAGTCAGCCATGCCTATGTTCCACCTGTAAGACCAGAAATGAAGACAAGTGAGTTTAACACTTTCTGATCTGGGCACATTTTAATTGACCTCGGTTTAACTAGTCAGATGAAAATCGTGAGCCTATCTGTACAGTTTTTTTAAAATTCTCCCTCCTTGCCCTAAATGGGGTGACTCAGTGGATTGAGTACTGGTCACAGAATCAAAAGATCGCTGGTTTGATTATCTGGCAGGGCACATGCCTGGGTTGCAGGACAGGTGCCCAGTTTGGGGTGCATGAGAGACAACCACACATTGATGTTTCTCTCCCTCTCTTGCTCCCTCCCTTCCCCTCTGTCTAAAAATAAATAAAATAGAACCTTTTCAAAAAATAAATAAATAAAATAAAATTCTCCCTCCTGGCAAGGAGAAAGCTTTCACACTGTGAGGACTCAGGGTTGGCACCTGGAAGAAGAGGGTCTGAAAGAACATCTGATGCCGACTTCTTGATCTCACATGTGGGAAAAAAAGCCTAGCAAGCACAATGTGAGCTGGCTTCTCAAAGACTAGGAATAAATTTGTGACTGTATATTATGAAAATTTTAAAGCTACAGAAAAATAGAACATAGTGAATACCCATATATATAGGCAGACAATTCAGATTAATAAGGCCCACGATCAGATGAAACTGACTGCTTTCTAATATTTTGATGTATTTGCTTATAGGTAGAGTAGTTGGATAGATGATAGATAGATAGATAGATAGATAGATAGATAGAACATTTTTAAAGTAAGTTATGAACCTCCTACACTTCACCCCTAAATACTTCAGCCATATACCTCCAAAAAATAAGAATATCCTCCTGGCTATAGAAAATATAATAAAAATAAAATATTAGTAATATTTTAGGTGGGTATTATGGAGTATAAATATGAATAACAATTTTTCACTGCTAAAGACTGATCTTTAAGTGCAATCTATGTGTATTTTTAAAGTTCAAGGTAGAATTAATTTAAGAGTCTTTCAGTAATCAACTAAGAATTGAGACATCCATCTTGAGGTTAAATGTTCATTATACGTTACAAAAGAAAAATAACTCTGCCACCATGGCTATTTGCTGACGATCAAGTACAGAATAGCTGCCTGAGTCCAGTTGCTAAGATGATTATAAGTGAAAAGGTTAATGACCTAGAGGAAATTAAGAGAGTACAAAGGCCTGCCTTTAATGGAAATCTTGTCTATTGTATTTTTTCTGAGAGAAAGCATGGCTTAGAAACTACCTAGAATGGTATTATGCTTGGCTCTGCAGTAAAGGGGGGCCAGTTTAAAAAAGTAGATACAACCACGAAAATGATGTCAGTGGTAAGATAATACTTGGGGGGGAGGAGGGGACTCACAGGGGGCCATGGGGGGCCGAGAATGCAGCGTTCCTTGAATATTGGCTAGTGTTGCCTGTGGCGGGTTAAAAACCAAGTATAATGAAGAAACAGAAGTAGAACAATGGCACCAAATGTGCTCAGCTCAAGTGGGCTTATAAAAAGAAAATGCTCAGATTTTTAGACCATACGCCTGATCCTGTAAAATATTTAATACGCCTGAACAATAAATCTGTTGGCAGATAGGACATCTCTCTGATTAACCAATGTCCTGGTTTTCCTTAATTTTATTTCTGGACAGATCAAAGACCAAAACACCTGAATGGTATGGTCAATCAGTGGATGGGATTGTTTGCCAACTATTCATCTTTGTGTGTGTGTGTGTGTGTGTGTGTGTGTGTGTGTGTGTGATAAATGTATGTAGTTACCTAATATAAGAAATAATAGCAAGACAGTGGGCCAGCCTGCTTCCCCATGGCAAGAGGCATGATTCCTCATCCATTGCTCAATTTTTCAAGAGCTTCATCACCAAGAGTACAATACAAAGAAGCAGGCATCAATATGGTTCACAATTTACATGTAGAGAGAGCTACAGAATCAGGGTATATATAAGCATTAACATGAATACTAGCAAACAGAAGCCTTCTACACCTGTCCTCATCTCTTTTAAAAAGTGGCAGGATTGCCCTGGATGGTGTGGCTCAATGGATTGAGCGGCCTTTGAACCAAAGGGTCATCAATTCAACTCCCAGTCAGGGCTCATGCCTAGGTTTCAGGCCAGGCCCCTGGTTGGGGGGTGTACAAGAAGCAACCACACATTGATGTTTCTCTTCCTCTCTTCCTCCCTCACTTCCTCTCTCTCTAAAAAATAAATAAATAAAATATTTTTAAAGTGGCAGGATTGATTCCACTAATTGGAATCAGATTTGGTTTACAATTAGTAAACCAAATCTACTTAACAATGCACTCTACTGCACATTCATTTTTATTTACTTCTGTGTTCCAATTTTTTTCACTACTGGTAACATGAATACTGAAAGAGGTCTACACCTAGACAGAATATTTGGAAAGGTGTCAGTAAAACCACAATCTGTTTAGCCCATCATGCCTCTCAGTTACACCAAAACACCCTTTACCTCAGCTACAATTCAGCATTTGCTGCAGTACCATTTGTAACATGAACTCTGGCACGCATCACAGGCCACAACATAAAAGCTAAAATCATGAAGCACTTTAAAACAGCATAGGATATCTTTGCAACTTGGAAGGTGGCAAAGATTTCTTAAATGTGCCTCTAAAAGCAATAACTGTGAAAAACCTTTTTTTATTTTTTTTTATTTTTAAGTGTTGTTCAAGTACAGTTGTCTCAAATTTCCCTCCCACCACTCTCCCCCATCCTAGAAATTGTTAAATGACAAATTAGATGTTATCAAGATTAAAAACTTGTGCGTCAGAAGACACTCTTAAGAACATAAATAGGCAAGACACAAACAGAGAAAATATTTGCATAACATACCCGATGAAGGACTGGTATCAAGAATATATAAAGAATTTCTATACTCAATGATAAAAGCAAAGTCAAATGAGGAAAAGAGTTGAACAAATACGTCACAAAGATATACAAATGGCCAATTAGTACATGAAAAAAAAAGCCTGATATCTTAGAAATGAAAATTAAAATCACATGAAGGTACTATTGCACACACCCCGGAATGGCTGGATGGAAATAACTAGACTTCTTCTGGTTACTGAAATGTAAGGCAGTGTGACCACTGGGCAAAGGTCTGACAGTTTCTAATAAAACTACACTTCGCCAGCCCAGTCACTACCACTCAGTAATTCCACGCCGAGGTGTCACCTCAGATAAGGGAACATACACATTCACAGAAAGACTGGACAGAAATGTTCCCAGCAGCTTCATTTGTAGGAGCCCAAAACAGGAAGTGGCCTGGCTGCCCATTGACAGCAGAATGAATGAGCAGACGTGAGGTCTTCCTACGGTAGAATATACTCAGTAATAAAAAGGAACTGACGACGGATAAATAAAGAACCTGGATGAATGTCAGAAGTTTCTTACACTGAGTGAAAGAAGCCTTATACAAAAGGATGCATCCACAGTGTGTGGTTACATCTGGGTCAAGTTCTACAACAGACGACACCAATCTGCAGTGGCAGAAAGATAGTAGTTACTTCTAGGGCTGAGGAGTAGGTGCTGTTTGGGAATAGGGACGAGGGAATGTGCTCAGCTGACAGTAACGTTGTTTATATCTTAACGGGGGTTTGAGTTACAAGCAGAAACAGAATCAATAGGACAAGATAGATAGATAGATAGATAGATAGATAGATAGATAGATAGATAGATAGATAGATATAAATAGTTGATAGATGATAAAACTATAAATAAACACATAACTGTAATTGATGATATGCATGTTACAGCGTTTGGGGGAAAGAGTACTGATATTTATAACTTTGAAATGCATCAACAAATAAGATGTATAAATGCATGGTTAGAGGAAGATAAATACATGATAAAACGTGTCTAGTGAGATGCTCATGGTAGAATCTAGAGGGTGAGTATACAAGTTTCACTGTACATTTGACATTTTTCATAATAAAATATTGGGAGGGAAAAAACACCTGCTTCTGCCTGTGCCCCAGGTCACTGACGTCGTGGGTAGTCACTTGCTCTGCTTCCCTCTCCAAACTAGCAGGATGAACCTAGCGTTCCCTCCTGCGGGGGCCAGGCCAGGAGTTCTGTGGAGGGCAGGGAGTCCAGGGAGTGCCCAAGCCCAGGGCCAGCACGAGCAGCTCCAAGTGCTTCTGCTGCAGCCCTGCCTTTCGTCAGCCTCTCTTGTCGTGATTAAGATGATTTCAAAACTTGCAGTCAAGAATAGCAACCAGTGTAGCCACCTGAAAATGAAACCAAGAGTTTATCCTCATGCAAATAATGCTTCATGCAAACATGCTTCACCAAACCCATGAGCAGGAAGAAATCCAATCAGGCCCCACTGGGGCCTGAACCAGGAACCAGGGAGCTGCTGTGAAGCCACAAGCCCTCTTCCCATCTCTGGCTGTTGCTTCTGTCTCCACGTGGCAGGGTTGCTCTTCCTTCTTAGCCGTGAGGTCTATCCTCCATCAGTCACCCAGACCACGTGACCCCTGGCAGCCGATGGCCTCCGTGTCCACCTGTCATAGCCCCAGCCACCCTGCGAGTCTGTCTTCCTCAGTCCCAATCCTCAGTTCCCAGAGCAGAAGCTTCATTTACCAGGCTTGGTCTGATCCAGTCCAGCCAGAAAGCAGGGGCGTGTGTGTAAATTCGGTCCCCAGTAATGCCCTTCTGGAGGAGGATGGGGGAAAGGGCTGTATTGTGAACTTTGCTGATGTCCCAAAGGTGACCTCTTATGAAAGCCAGGTAGTTTGTTTCAAACCAACATGATTGTGAGTCGAGTTTGGGAGTTCCCAGAGCATTCACTGTCTTCCCCTCTGTTTGGGTTGCCTCCTTCCAAGTAGGGAAGGGAACCCCCTAGAAGGGAGTGACCAGGAAGGGAAATGGCCTTCTATTACATTCCCAAATACCACGTGCCTCCAAAGCACCCCCCTTCCTGCTGTGTTTTAGCTGGCCAAAGAATCGCTCAGGAGCTTCTTAGAAATGTAGCTCCCGCCCCCACCCCCACCCCAGTCTGTGGGCGGTGGCACTCAGAGTGGGCTCCTCTGAGCAGGGGCTGGCCGGGCCTGAGCTCTCTGCATCCTTTGATCTTTTCTTCTACTCTTTTCCTTTTAGAATGGAAAGAGATGCCGCGTTTACACACAAAAAGGCAGAGAGGGCCTGCCTCAGAGTTCATCTCAGAGAAAAGTACAGACTTCCAAAGGTGAGACCATTTCTTACCTGATAAAAAAAAAAAAAAGGAGAATGTCTGGTTATCAGCCAAGGAAGCAGAGGGTCATGCTCATGAATACGTGTGTATATATATATTCATGCTTATACAAACACACAGACACACACACACACAGTAGTCCTCCCCTAACTGCAGGTGATACGTTCCAAGACCCCAGTGGATGCCTGAAACTCTGGATATTACAGAAGCCTGTACTGTATACACTATGTTTTTTCTCATACTCACAGGCTTATGATAAAGTTTAACTTATAAATCAGACACAGTAAGTGACTAACAATAATAACTAATAATAAAACAGACCACTTCCAACAGTACATTGTAACCAAGGCCCCATGACTGTGGCCTTAGTAAGTAAAACAAGGCTGACTTGCACACAAGCCCTGGGATACAGGAACAGTCCCTCCGATAGCCCAGATGACCACTAAGTGGCCGAGGGGCAGGAAGTGTATACAGGGTGGGGGCACTGGACAAAGGGTGATTCACATCCAAGGCAGGACTAGCGCGTGAGTTCATCACGCCACTCAGAAGAACACACACGTTAATATGCATGAATTGTTTATGTCTGGAATTTTTCATTCAGTGTTTCTGGAGTGTGGTCGACTGTGTGCAACGAAACCACAGAAATGAAACTGGATAAAGGGGAGCTGCTGTGTATATGCATTATATATCTATCCACACATATATATGAATACACAAACAAGACATGCATTTATGTCCTAATCTTAATGGAGGCATTTTGGTGTAAAGAGCAATGAACTAGGGAGCCACAAAGACTGGATCCCAGTCAATCAGCCTCTATGAACTTCCATTTCCTCTCAACAAGGTGAAGTTCATACCTGTAGATGACACTTTAATGTAAATTTATCTACAGGCTATAGGACTGCTGTATGTAAATTCATGCTTGGGATATTCATCTCCACTGCCATTCACGGAGCTCTAAGTGCCGGGTGCTGGTCCCAGTGCTCTGCACCTACCGCTTCCTTCAATCCTCTCAACAGCCCTGTGAGGCAGGTTCTCACAGCAGGGCAAACGGAGGCCCAGAGAAAGGGCCCTCCTGCCACGGGCCACCCAGCTGGAGGGCAGAGCCCAGCATCTTCACGGCCATACTGTTCTGCCTCTCTGTCCAAGGAATGATTGCTTCCCTCCTCGGGGGAGCGATGGGGTAGGGCTGCCCATCACCTGCCAACATCTCCCCCGTCATGGCTGAAAGGACCAGCAGCACCTGGCGCTTGATGTCCAGCCCCCACCTCGGGCACTTCCTCTGCCCAGTGGCTGTCCTAGGTTACATGTTCCCCTCCCATGTGCCCCCAGAGGCTCTGGGTACAGCTGGCCTTCAACAGCCTCCAAGGCTAGAAAGGTGCGCTGGGGAACAGCCGCATTTCCCAACCCCGCAATCATGGCTCGATGACAGGTTTCCTCTCTGCGCAATGCGGCCTCTCCTGTCCAAGCCAGACCCTGGCTGCGGGAGGAGCGCCCAGCTGCGGCAGCCGGCAGCCGGCAGGAACCTGATCCGGGCCCCTCGCGCCCCCTGGTGTCCCCAGTCGCAGCAGGCGCACACACCCGGGAGGAAATGCGCCCTCACTGTGACTGTTCTCAGTCCTTCCACAAGGACGGTCAGTTGTAGCAGAGATGGTGGGAGTCCACTCTTCATTGAGTGTTTTAGTCTAAAGCAGCCTGCTCTAAAAGGGGGGCCCTCCTAGGAGCTCCAGGAGCCTGGTGGGCCCTCCTAGAAGCAGCTGTCACAAAGCAGCAGGTGGCAGCCCAGTGAGAGACCTGGGTGGGGGCAGGCTGGGAGGGGGGGGCTTGGGAGCAACCAGGCCCTCCCAGGCATGGTCTGCCAGGACAGAGGTTTTTGCTGTCTCCACAGTAACAGGGACAGCAAGGGGTTTGGGAAGGATTGATGGGATTTATGGAACTGAGATAGGCAGCCCTGAGAAAGGAGGACTTCCGGAAAATGACGGCTGTGGCGAGAGTCCTGGCCGAGCTCTGTTCTCACACTGTGCTAGGTCCCTGCATCTGGACAGGCTCACGCCACTGTGATTACAGAACTGTGTGTAAGTGTTAAGACTTCCTTTGATTTTGCAGAAAAAACCTTTAGAGTGACATCCGAAAACCATGATGGGAATGGACGTGGTAGGTTTTCATTTCTTAGATGCTCCCATAAGGGGCAAGGAGGCCCTGGCACACCAGGCAGTGCCTGTGGCACCAAGGTGGCTGGGAAAGCTTTAGATCACGGCAATGTGCCCAGTGTACTGGACGGAAGGGAAGGAGGGGCTGACCGGCCAGTGTTACAGTCTTGGAGCAGCAGGAGAGGGACAAAGGCCTGGGCCACCTGCTGGGTTGGAGATGGGACAACAAATGCCCAAGCCACTACAGGCATCTCCCTCGAGGGCTGGCATCTTGATTACTGGACTTAAATGATTACTTATCTGGTTTCTGCAACTAAAAATGGCCGTCAGGGCACATACACAAAGGAATATTATACAGCCATGAAAAGGAGGAAGTCCTGCCATCTGTGACAACATGGGTGGAACTCATAGAAGAAGAGGGGGCCACAGGCAGGTGGTAGGGGTGGGCGGGATGGGCGCAGGGGATCAAAAGGACAAACATCCAGTTAGAAGGAAAATATGCCCTGGGGCTGTGATGAAGAGCATGATGGCTGTTTTTTTAAATGGTCATCAGAAGACATCAGTAGAACAATGGTATTGTCGTTAACAATTAGCAATGAACTTCGGGCCAGGCAGGGCTACCTGGGGAACACACCAGAAGCCCTCCCTCCATCCCACTAAGCCCCTCCCAGCGCAGGTGTGGGCTTCTGAGCCACCAGGGTTGGTTCTCTTTTTGTTGACCTTTTTTACCTACTGAAAAGCACACGACATAGGTGTCCACCCAATGCACAATCACTAAACTCCTGTAAAGTAAGGAACTTTCCCAGGGTCACAAAGCTCACTGTGGCAAAGGCCCAGAGCCTCCTTACCCTCTGGGCCTTTTTTCATGCCCTGTTACCCCCCATCCCCTAACCCGTGTCTCCCCACCCACGATGGTAGACGAGAACCAAGCACAATGTCTAACAACAACAACAACAAAATAATGGCTCTGGACAGAAGGAAAGGTTCGCCAGGGTCTTCTTGGGCTCCCGATAATAACAGCCTTTCCACCCCACCCCCCAAGCTTTGCAAAATTCTTAGCCCCGAGCCATCTTACAAAGTCCCTGTTGGGCAAGCCCCCACACTAATGATATTAACCGTCCTCAGGGAGCTGGGCACATGCAAGGTGTCCTCCAGCTAACGAGGGACGGCCTGGGCGCCTCACCCACAATTCTCCAGGGTCATATCAGGGTTGCATAGCTAGCAGGAGGCAGTCCCAGGACCTTCCCTTTACCCAGGCCCAACAGAGAGCTGATTGGAGGAAAAAGTCTTCCCGGGAGCTGTCAGGTCTAATGAGGATAACAATGTCACATTGGGGAATCAGAACTGTATTTTCCAAATAAATCATTTGGCTGGCATTTTCCATGGAAGTAGGTGCCGTCGCCCCATTGCTGACTGGGGAAAGGAAGCTTGGGCTGCAAGAAGGAGCAGTGTGGGTCCTCGCCCCCCACACACGCTGTAAAAGCCCCCCCCCCAGGGTGCTTGTTCATTGTCGGCAACAATATGGCTTGTCATACTCACGTCTTCTGATGGCCACTTTCAATTGCAGTGATGATGTAAGCAGCCAGGTAAGCGCAGTGGTCAGAGGGCAGTGATCCGAGCCCATCTAGCGAAGCACATTGGTCTCGATCGTGTTCACGCACGTCCCCTCTGTTGATTTCCTCTGGTTTTCAGATCCCTAGTAATTCAAGAACCTCCGATGCTACAGGAAGCCATGGTGCTTGTGTTAGATTTGGGTCCTCTTCCGTTAATCCTGTATTCTCAAGTTTTTCTCTCTGTTGGCCTCTCTTTTACAAAGGAGTTAAATCTCTCCCCACAAAAGCAAGCAGCACTTTTGAAGTAAGCGTGCCCTCCTAGGGGTGGCCCCTAACGGCCTGGTTGCCGCTGCTCCACCAAAACTTCCCCCCTTCAGACTCTCGGCCAAATCGCTCCATTGTTTCTGGTTTCTCTTTGATTCCTTAAGCACTGGTCATTGTTCCTCCCTGAAGCCTTCACTGTCCTCAGCTTCTGGACGCCACCCTCTGGTTCTCATGCTCCTTGAACTGTTTCTTCTCTGTCTTCTTCATGGGTTACCCTCCCTGTCTCCGCCCAAATTTGGGAATATTCCGGGGTGCTCCCTCGGATGGCTGCACCTTGCTGTTGCTTTCACCTACCAACTACCTGTGTGTTGATGTGCGGACCTCCAGGCCACACCTCTTCCTGAACGTCAGCTCTCCTGGGGGGGCCCCCTCCAACCTCATATCCAGAACACAGTCCTTCTTTATCCCTTCAACCTGCCCTTCCTGGTGCCTTCACCCTGGAAAGCCCTTCCCCCAGCCTGGAACAGGAAGTCACCCTTGGCTCTTCCCTCCTTCTCCAGCAAATCACCAAGTCGCCCCAATTTCACTGCCTAAATAATTTCCACCCCCAAATGCAGACCTCATCATTTCTCACCCCTTTTATTACAACGCAGTAGCTTTTTGACTTTGAGTCTTGTTCCCCTTAAAACGGCAGAGCGAAGTTTCCAAAATGCAAATCTGATTCTGTTTCTCTCTTGTTAAAAGAAAAAAAAGATCCACCATGACCTTTTGGGATGAAGCTCAAACCCCTTGGCCGCTGCACCTTTGTGTGGCTCCTTTGGTTCCATCCCTGCCCCTCGCCACCCCCTGCCTGGACTGCACCTTCTGCCAGCTTTGTTTCCTGTACCCCACCCCCTGTGGCCCCTTTCCCTCCTGTAAAACTTCCATCTAGTGCCAGTTCTTCCAGAACCTTCCATGACCTCCCTCTCCCCACCATCTTCCATGCTCAGAGTACATGTCTCTTATGTCATTATCACCCTGAATGTTG